GATAGATAGATAGATAGATAGATAGATAGATAGATAGATAGATAGATAGATAGATAGATAGATAGATAGATAGATGGATGGATGGATGGATGGATGGATAGAGATAGATAGATAGATAGATAGATAGATAGATAGATAGATAGATAAGAGATAGACAGATAGATATAGATAGATATATAGATATATAGATATATAGATATATAGATATATAGATATATAGATATAGATAGATAGATAGATAGATAGATAGATAGATAGAGATAGATAGATAGAGATAGATATAGATATAGATATAGATATAGATAGATAGATATAGATATAGATAGATATAGATAGATAGATAGATAGATATAGATATAGATATAGAGATAGATAGATAGATAGATAGATAGATAGATAGATAGATATAGATAGATAGATAGATAGATAGATAGATAGATAGATAGATAGATGATAGCACTAGCCATAGCCCTTAATACCTATACACCGCTTCACACGCATTTACAGCCCTCTCTAAGCGGTTTACAGAGTCAGCCTGTGGCCCCCCAACAATCTGAGTCCTCATTTTACCGACCTCAGAAGGACGGAAGCTGAGTTGACCTTGAGCCAGTCAGGATCGAACTCCCAGCAGTGGGCAGAGTCAGCCTACAATGCTGCGTTCTGTTCTAATTCTAATTCTAACAGAGTTGGACCTTGGGCATCTTCTAGTCCCACCTCCTGCTCAGGCAGGAGACTCTAAATAAACCATTCCAGACAAATCTCTTCTTAAAAGCCTCCAGTGATGGAGCACCTACAACTTCCATTCGACTGACGGATTGTCCTCACAGTTAGGAAGTTTCTCCTTAGTTCTAGGTTGGGTCTCTCCTTGATGAGTCTCCATCCATTGCTCCTTGTCCTGCCTTCAGAAGCTTTGGAGGATAATTGGACCCCCTCCTCTTCTTTGGGGCAGCCCCTCAAAGGCTGGAAGACCGCCATCGTCTCCCCCCGGGTCTTTCTCTTTATTATTATTATTATTATTATTATTATTATTATTATTATTATTATTATTATTATTATTATTATTATTATTATTATTATTATTATTATTATCTCCTTGTCCTTCGCTCTCTCTCACGTACCTTGAGCAATGAACTGCTTCTCAAACTTCTGCAGGAACTCCAAGTAGAGAAGGTCATCAGCTGACAGGGCCTCTTCTCCCACCACGGCCTTCATAGCCTGGACGTCTTTGCCAATGGCGTAGCAGGCGTACTGGACGCAAAGCAAGACGGTCACTCAGAACCAAGGTTATGTCAAGAAACAGAAGGCCCCAGAAGCCTCTCCGGACAGGGCTGCCCGCCGGACGTGTCCAAAAAAATATATCAGTTTGGTAGTGCTAAGCAAGAATGGTACCGGTCGTCCTCCACGTATGACCATGAGGGAGCCCAAGATTTCCATTGCTAAGTGAGACATTTCTTAAGCGAGCTTTGCCCCCATTTTACGAGCTTTCTCGCCCCGGTTGTTAAGTGAATCCCTTCGGTTCTTAAGTCAGCCATGCAGTCATTAAGCGAATCGGGCTTCCCCCCGTTTGACTTTGCATGTCAGAAGGTCGCAAAAGGGGATCATGTGACACACACACACACACATACACACACACACACACACACGGGACGCTGCCACCGTCCTAAATACGAGCCAGCTGCCAAGCATCTGTATTTTGATCACCCCAGGGGTGCTTCAACGTGAAAAAGGGTCCTAAGTCCCTTTCCTCGGTGCCGTTGTAGCTTCGAAGGGCCCCTAAACGAATTGTCGTAAGTCGAGGACCACCTGCCTTCTCGCCATTGGCCTTTTGATGCTCCCGATCCAAAGGAGCCCGTCGTTTTCCAAGCCCGCTTCAGAAGGAAGCGCTTCCCTGCTCTGTTGCACAGGGGGTCCCTCCCCTCCCAGGGCCTGGGCTCCTCCCCCCCGAAGCCCCCCACCGCCCTGGGTCAGCTCAGAGGCCCACCAATTGATTTGAAACGTCCCCGTGGTCCTTCCGGGTCATGCCTTCCCCAATGGCCGACTTCATCAGACGGGAGAGAGACGGCAGCACGTTGATGGGCGGGTAGATCTGCGGGCCGAGAAAAGGCGCGTCACGAAGGAACCACCATGGAGGAATCGGGTCTGATCAGGTGGAAGCTAAGAGCCCCAGAGGACATGGGGAGGGGGAGGAGGGTCTGGGGTCCTCATAGCTCCTAAAACTCAGGGGCTTTATATCGTCGACTAAAGCACAACCACCGATGGGCTGAATTCTTGGTAGAGGGTGTGAAGGCATCAGGCCAGAAACCAGGAGACGGAGAGTTCTAGTCCTCAGGTATGAAAGCCAGTTCGGTGTCTTTGGTTCAATCACCAGGAGACGGAGAGTTCTAGTCCCTCCTTAGGCATGAAAGCCAGTTGGGTGACTCTGAGCCAATCACCAGGAGACGGTGAGTTCTAGTTTTGCCTTAGGCATGAAAGCCGGTTGGGTGACTCTGAGCCAATCACCAGGAGATGGAGAGTTCTAGTCCCTCCTTAGCCATGAAAGCCGATTGGGTGGCTTTGAGTCAATCACCAGGAGACGGAGAGTTCTAGTCCCTCCTTAGCCATGAAAGCCGGTTGGTTATCTTTGAGCCAATCACCAGGAGATGGGGAGTTCTAGTCCCTCCTTAGGCGTGAAAGCCAGTTGGGTGACTCTGAGCCAATCACCAGGAGACTGAGAGTTCTAGTCCTGCCTTAGCATGAAAGCCAATTGGGTGTCTTTGAGTCAATCACCAGGAGACGGAGAGTTCTAGTCCCTCCTTAGGCGTGAAAGCCAGTTGGATGACTCTGAGCCAATCACTGGGAGACGGAGAGTTCTAGTCCCTAATTAGGCATAAAAGCCAGTTGGGTGACTCTGAGCCAATCACCAGGAGACGGTGAATTCTAGTTCTGCCTTAGGCATGAAAGCCAGTTGGGTGTCTTTGGGTCAATCACCAGGAGACGGTGAGTTCTAGTCCCTCCTTAGGCATAAAAACCGGATGGCTGGCTTTGGACCAGTCCCTCTCTCTCTCTCTTTCAGTCCGAACCCGCCTCACTGGCTTGTTGTCGGGGTGGGGGGGGCAACAGGAAGAGGGAGGAGGGCCCCTGCCTCCTGTTGCTCATGGTGACTGGAGTTCCAGGAGGAGGTGGGGAAGGACCTCTGGACTTCCCAGAAGCTCTGATGCGCCCACAGAGATGGGAGGGAGAGCCAGACCATTCACCTGCCGGTTGTGAAGCTGTCGGTCCACGTAAATTTGTCCTTCCGTGATGAATCCGGTCAAATCCGGAATGGGGTGTGTGATATCTGCAAGGAGACACAAGGGGATGCCGCTAGCCATACGTAGGGTCAGAATAACAGAGTTGGAAGGGACCTTGGAGGTCTTCTAGTCCAGGGGGCCCCAACCTTGGCCACTTTAAGACCTGTGGACTTCAATTCCCAGAATTCCCCAGCCAGCATGGGAATTCTGGGAGTTGAAGTCCACAGGTCTTAAAGTGGCCAAGGTTGGGGACCCTTGTATCTAAATTTATACTTCCACGTTTTAAGTGACCAACATTTTATTTATGTCAATTCATAACAAGATCTAGTATTCAAAATACATATCTTGTCTACTTGAGTATATTCTATTTTAAATAATAATAATAATAATAATAATAATAATAATAATAATAATAATAATAATAATAATAATAATAATAATAATAATAATAATAATAAAGTTGGAAGGGACCTTGGAGGTCATCTAGTCCAACCCCCTGCTCAGGCAGGAAACCCTATCCCCTTTCAGACAAATGGCTGTCCAGTCTCTTTTTAAAAACTTCCAGTGTTGGCGCATTCACCACTTCTGGAGGCTAGTAGAGTAGAGTAGAGTAGAGTAGAGTAGAGTAGAGTAGAGTAGAATAGAATAGAATAGAATAGAATAGAATAGAATAGTTGGAAGGGACCTTGGAGGTCATCTAGTCCAACCCCCTGCTTAGGCAGGAAACCCTATACCATTTCAGACAAATGGCTGTCCAGTCTCTTCTTAAAAACTTCCAGTGTTGGAGCATTCACCGCTTCTGGAGGCAGGTTGTTCCACTGGTTAATTGTTCTCACTGTCAGGAAGTTTCTCCTTAGTTCTAGGTTGCTTCTCTCCTTGATGAGTTTCCTTACCATTTTAATAATAATAATAATAATAATAATAATAATAATAATAATAATAATAATAATAATAATAATAAAAGTTGGAAGGGACCTTGGAGGTCACCTAGTCCAACCCCCTGCTCAGGCAGGAAACCCTATACCCTTTCAGACAAATGGCTGTCCAGTCTCTTCTTTAAAACTTCCAGTGTTGGAGCCTTCACCGTTTCTGGAGGCAGGTGGTTCCTTACCATCTGTTTGATTAGTGCCCACACTAATGGCACACACTATCAAAAGCTTGATATCTATGCTAAAGGGTGAGGGTTTTATTTATTTATTTTCATTTTAGATTGCCGGGGACGGAAATATTCTGTATCAATTCACTCTCTGTCCCCATTGCTGGGTTTAAATGTTTCTCGAGAAAAGCCCCGAGTTTCTTACTAACTCCGTCCCTTTCTTTAAAAGGGAAAGTCCACGGAGCTGTTGCTTAATCTGGGAAGTTCAAAACAAGGTCTCAGACCCAGGGAAGCTGGCCAATTACTTTTCTACTGCGGTGGAGAAATCTGGGTAGGTGCTTTTGTGGGTGGGACCTTCTGGAAGGAAGCTTCTTGATCTGGAGGACACATCTTACTTTCTCAACCACTCAAGGCAGAGAACAGCAGAGGCACGGGTGCAAAATTCTGGATCTCCGACTTTGAGACCCCCCCAGCCCATTCGTTCTTGGACCCCCAGCCAAGGACAGTAGTCTTCTAGGGGAGAAAGGCAGGCCCTGGTGATGCTCCAAAAACTCAAGCTGGTGGTTGAGATGCTCCATCTTAAAACCATCATGGCCACCATCTGGAATTTTTTGACCATCTTCTTGGAGGTGGGGAAGAGGACATGAAGCAGAAGAAGCAGACCTGTCTCTTCTCAGACCAAGAAATGGAACCAGAAGAAGAAGAGTTGGAAGGGACCTTGGAGGTCTTCTAGTCCAACCCAACTCAAGCAAGAAACCCTATACTGGACATGGCAGTCCAGTCTCTTCTTAAAAGCCTCCAGGGATGGAGCACCCACAACTTCTGGAGGCAAGCCGTTCCACTGGTTAATTGATCTTAGATTATAGAAGGCCAGAAGAGGTTGAAGGGACCTTGGAGGTCATCTAGTCCAACCCAACTCAAGCAAGAAACCATATACCATTTCAGACCAATGGCTGTCCAGTAGTCTCTTCTTGAAAGCCTCCAGTGATGGAGCATTCACAGCTTCTGGAGGCAGGTTGTTCCACTGGTTAATTGTTCCCACTCTCAGGAAATTTCTCCTTAGTTCCAGGTTGCTTCTCTCCTTGACTACCGTAGTTTCCATCCGTTGCTTCTGTTCCGGCCTTCAGGTCCTCTCCTTGATGATTTTTCCACCCACCACCCCAGAGCCTTGAACCCAGCGTAGCCTCGTCTTCAGATCTATGTGTGAAAGTCTCCCAGGGGTCTCCCCTCCTCTGCTTCCTCCTAAGAACCATCCATCTCAACTCATCATTTCCGTAATTCGCTGAGTTTCCTCTCTGATTTTAGAGTCACCTGAGAATTAGGAGAACTTGTGGGGCACCAAGGAGGAACTGAGACCTGCTTCTAGTGGCCTCTTTCTCAATTCCCACAGCCCATCAACTCTGAAGTTGAGTGTAGAGGCTCAGAATAGCGTGTCTAGATCGGTTGTGCTTGAAGGCATCTTGAGTAGGCCAGGAGACAGCAGAATCCCACCCTGCTCGGTCGGTTGGTTGGTTGCTTGATGAGTTGGGGGGGGGCTAAACCCCAGCACAGCATCCCTCAGCATCATTTTCCAGGTTGGAACATGGGAGGATCTTTGGGGACCCCTCTGTCTGGGGCAGGGGTAGGCAACCTTGGCTCCTTCATGACTCGTGGACTTCAACTCCCAGAATTCCTGAGCCAGCATGGGGAAACTATGGCCCCTTCATGACTTGGGGACTTCAGCTCCCAGAATTCCTGAGCCACCATGGCTCAGCTTGGAAACCTCTCCCTTTCCCCTCAGCATGGCTGGCTCAGGAATTCTGGGAATTGAAGTCCACGTCATAAAGAGGCTGCAGTTCATCAAGCTGGCTCAGGAATTCTGGGAGTTGAAGTCCACCAGTCATAAAAGAGCCAAGGTTGCCTACCCCTGGTCTGGGGCAACACAGGATGATGGAGCACAAGAAATTCTGTCTCTCCAAACAGGCCAGAATTATTTTGGTGGTCAGGTCAAAAAGGATCTGGCTTGGGGTAGGAGGAGGGGGTGCACTGGATAGACATATATTTACTAGCCCTATCACTGTATTTTCCTTGTTTATTTCCTTGTTCTATTAGTTCACTTTTGCTTTGTTTTCTTGCTTCTTAATTTTGATTACCTATCTTAGAGAAGCAACCTGGAATTAAGGAGACACTTCCTAACAGCAACCAGTGGAACTGCTTGCCTCTAGAAGTTGTGGGTGCTCCATCGCTGGAGGTTTTTAAGAAGAGGCTGCCAGGTCAGACAAGTGACTATCTAGCGGTTCTCCTGCTTGAGCAGGGGGCTGGACTACATGACCTCCAAGGTCCCTTCCAATTCTATTCTATTCTATTCTATTCTAATGGCAGAGGGTCTCCTGCGTGAGTAGGGGGCTGGACTAGAAGACCTCCAAGACCCCTTCCAGCTCTATTCTATTCTAAATGGTAGAGGGTCTTCTGCTTGAGCAGGGGGCTGGACTAGAAGACCTCCAAGGTCCCTTCCAGCTCTATTCTATTCTATTCTATTCTATTCCATTCCATATTTTCTATTCTATTCTATTCTATTCTATTCTATTCTATTCTATTCTATTC